ATTCACACAAACATTGAGTATCATCCCAAGAATAATATGTGGCAATCATCATGAAGTGATCAAACCAATGGTATACATTATCCCTAATATTCCCATGGAAGAACTCCAGTTGGACTTGAGGATTGGCAATAAGAGTATGAGGAGCTGTACCATGCGTCGTGAATGTTACTATCAATTGAGTTTGATTGTTCAATTACAATTGCATAATATCAAACAATTACAACAACTACTGCTCGAGTCAAAAGAGGAGGAAACTACTACTTTACAATAAAGATGAATGAAAAGGAAAGAGTAGAAAAGAAGAAGGTGAAAAAAGCTATAAAAAAAAAAGAGATCTCAACAATACAAAAGCTAAATCTAAAGTAGAATCCTAAATTCAAATACTCCTCAAGGATAATTAAAGTTACCCTTTATCTCCACTAATGAGAATGCATAGAATATAGAAATAGAATATAAAAATGTGCATATCAATTAACACAAAACCCCTAATTTATATATAGGAGCGAAAGGTTTAGATTGAAACCAATCTGATAGTTATTAAAATTCTACTACGCTAATATTAATATATGGCATCATAGTCGTACACTTGGACCTCATAAAAATATTTTTAATCTATTTTAATAAAAATGCTTTCCTCTTTAAATCTAATAGAATTTTGACAATATTTTTATTTTAGATATTATGCTCATATTAAGAAAGTTTCTCCATGCTTCTTTCTGGATAGTATTTAGGATCTCACCAAAATAGGTGAAAATGATAGTCTTAATTAGGACCACCATTCACTAGCTCCATGTGCACTATGTTTGAATTTTTGGTGGACGAAACCAAACATTAGATGCTTACATTGTGCTATAAAATGGCTTGCTCTAGAGTGTTAGCAAGCAGCAGTTTTGGGCTAGCTAGATATATCATAATTCTGTTCTAATGGCTTATACCAATGCTCTAATCTTCCTGACTTCTTTCATTGCCTTTGCTGCAAGCATTGCAGTGGCACAAACTTCAGCCCCTCCCACTCCACCCCCTGCCTCCCCTCCCGCTCCAGCCACTCCTCCAGGCACTGCACCCCCTCCAGGCACTCCCCCTCCCACTCCAGCAGCTCCTCCTCCAGGCACTCGACCCCCTCCACCCCTTCCAAAGGCAGGATGCTTCCCAGGTAGGGTTCATGTGAATTCACTTTTTGTCTTACAATTTTCAAGCTATTATAGGAGATGCAACTGTTCAGATGTATAATGGAGAAATTAAGTTCGTGAGGGAGCTTAATGTCGGAGACAAGGTTGAATACTTTCACATAAATTTACAAATCTTGTCCAAGTATAACTTTTCCACAGGTTGCAGTAGGCAAGAATATCTATTCAGATGTGTATGCATTCGGCCACAAGGATGCTGATGTCATCTCCAAGTTTTTCCAAGTGCATAGCGCTTCAAACATGTTGGAACTCACTGCAGGCCACTTTGTTCCCATTGCTGTCAATGGGAAGCTCGTGTACAAGAGAGCCGAGGACCTCAAGGTTGGAGATTCCCTGTGGGAATCATCTAAAATCACTGGTAAGGAAAGCAAAAAGCATATATATTGGTGGGATGTTTCTAACAATTCTGCGCTACTTCTCCAGAAATCTCAAAGGTTGAGAAGCTAGGCCTCTACAACCCACTCACTCTCTCTGGCAGTATCATGGTGAACAATGTTCTAGCATCCACTCACAGCGAGTGGTTCTTAGACTCCATCTTTGATGCTGTCGGTGCAACCGAGTACCTGCCATACGCATACCAGGCCGTGCTTGCTCCAGTTCGCGCCATCTACAACATCGTGGGCAAGGAAATTTATGCAAAGGGCTATGCTGCCATCGATTCCTTCACCAACATTGCTGAGTTTGGAACGAAGTATGGAGGAAGCGTTGCTCTCGCCCTTGGAATTGCTGGTCTTGTGCTGGCCTCCAAGGTGTAAACAATTTTGGCAAGAATAAAATTTGGAAATACATACAAACGTACAGTGCACAGACAATTATTGGGTACCTCTCACACCACCAGTAGACCAAATGTCCACTACACCGCGTTTGTTTTGTTTTGCTAACATAACTAAAACACTAAAGTTGGCATTTTATAGACATTGGCCAATTTAAATAAATTTATTATGATATTCTTTGAATTTTAGGCATTTATAATGATTAAGGAAAATATTATCATTTTATTATTATTACGGGGTTATAGGAGCTGGATAATGGTAATCTGCCCTAGCCTCACTCCACTTAATCAGTCTTCTCTTGAGTTCCAGTCCCGAAATTCCTCCTGAAATTCATAAACTTTTAGTGGCACTATCACTTAGTAGTATCAAAAGGATGTTGATTAATCTAGTGGGCCATTTGAAGCTATTAGGTTTAAAATATATGTTTTAATTTACTTCCACCTCCAGCACATATAGTATATTTAAAAACCAGATTTTTTAAAGAAAACTAAAATTGTTGTGCATCTTATTTAACTAAATATTATTTATTATTACTTATCTCCTATTTTAGTGTTATTCCTGTTTTGGTATATATTGTACTTTATATCTATAGTTCCTTCTATTTTTTTAATACTTGATTTAAGTATTGTGAGTGCATGGAATATAGAAATGAAATACAAAAATGTGCATATTAATTAGCCTAAAAACCATAGCTTATATATAGAAGTTAATGGTTCGAATTAAAACCAAATTGACAACTACTAAAATCCCACTAAACTAATATTAATATATAGCATTGTAGCCTACATTTGGACTTCACATCCATCATAGCAATACATTTAAACCTCATATCATCCCCTCCTCTCAGAATGATGGAAGATTGTCAAAGTTTTCTCATGGATGGGTCGAGATCTAAAAAAACATCAAGAGGAGACATTGGTAGATCTATGAGTGATGCCAATTTTCCTTGATCTCTTTGTATGAAGTGTTTTAGCCACTGCATATATATAATTTCTAGATAATTAACTTGCTAGACATCATGCCAAACCTTATAAACTTGCATTTCAACTTGCTATAACACTTAATACAGTCCTTTCCACTAAGCAAAGAGCCCTTTAGATAAACCATATATTATAAAATTAGGAAAACAGATTAACACTAAGTCATCCACTTTGCATTTTATAGATGGACGATGATGGGAGTTGTAGTGCCGTTATTGTCCCACTTGTATACGGCATAGATGTTTGGTAGACTTTGCTCAAACAAGTGGAAGAATGCTTGTTAAATACTGATCCCATGACTTAATATCAACAATTCATGGTAATTGCGAAGGTAAACCTAATTCCATTGGTAGTATTAGATCATGATCATATAAGAGTTTATATAGTGAAACATTAACAGAATTCTACCCCTTTATGACATATGCATAATAAAGAGATGGAAAATAACCATCTTAATCCAAATGCTGAAAGTTCATATACTTCATGATCATCTTTTTAAAAGTTCAAAAAAACTATTTTACTAAACCGTTTAATTGTGTTTTTTAATTGTAACTACATAGTATCAAGTAATTGCACCAATTGGTGCTTCACAATCAACAGAGGAGGAGGCTACTGCTCTACCATAAAAATGAACAAAAAGGAAAGAGCAATAAAGAAGAAGGTGAGAAAAGCTATAAGAAAAAGAAGATTTAAATAATACAAGAGTTAAATTTAAACTAAAACCCCAAATCCTAGCACTCCTCAAAGATAATAAAATTGCCCTTCATCTCCACCAATGTTAGTGTATAGAATATAGAAATGTGAATATTAATTAACTTAGCTTATATATAAAAGCAAGTGATCTGAATTAAAATCAATCTAACTACCAAGATCCCACTACACTAATATGCTGTATACTTGGATCTCATAGTATTAGTGTTATAGTTTATATATCATTTTTATTTGTTAATCTATAATTTAAAGAGAGTTCTAACCTTTAAAAAATAAACTTTAGAATTCCCAAATTAAATTTAATTTGGTGCCAAAACAAAACAATCAAGCTGCTTCCAACTTTACTCCTGCAGATCTTATGAAAGTACAATCCACAATCTTACATGATGCTTTCTCATGATTTGTGACACAGACAAGCCACAAAAGAGACTATAAGAGACTATACCTGTGAAAAAAATTTCAACACCACCTTCATTATACAGTAGACACTTTCATCACATTCACCTTGAGATTTTTGTGTTGTTTCCGTGACACTCAGTGCGTCCTCTCCTGCAATGCATGAATGAGCCTCAGGATTGTCACAATCCCGTTGGTGAAGTACTTGAACAGTGACTAGACTTTGCTGATGAGTTTCAAGCTACCACCTTTCCTAGCTTGTGCAGTGCAGGGAAGAAAGACTATATCTCGAGCGAGATCCCTCTTCTTGTTCATGGAAAGGAGAGGATTTTCATTCAAATGAAAGCACCTAGAGTTTCATGTCATCCTCTCGTCCTCAACTCACAAAAAGAACTTAGAAGTGTCAGTTAAAGAATTTTAAATTTTAAACTGTTTTCACATGTGATTGGTTTCCTAGCCCCAGGAAAACACCAAATTCCATGGTGAGGATATAGTCTCGTGAAACTTATGCTTGTTGCTTATGCACAAGCTCAAAAAGCTCTCGAGGTCATTGCTCTCATGCCATGGACAAGATCACACAGGCTCTAACTTCATGGGGCAGGGCAGCATGAAATCCTTCCAGCCGCTAAAAGAACAAGAACATGAAGATTATACAGAAAAGGTAATAGAAGATCTATAGATGAAACAAACAAGCGTAACAAAAATAATTAAATAAGAAGTGGATTGTCTGATTTTGATCAACGTGTTCCACAAAAACTGACAACATGAATCTACACAAGCTAAATTCTATGTGACACTGAATCCTAGTGATTGAAAGAAAAACAGTGCATTGCGGCCAAAGCATGAGATTTTCCAACAATTACTAATATTCTAAGAATATTCTCAAAACAGAAGAATGTAGAGGTTTTAAATGCTAGAAAATTTAGGGCACTCTATCTTAGGGTTCTTGACAGGGGAAGAAATGCAAGCCCCAGTGCAGCCGAGGAGCGGCCGCTTGGATTTCCTCAACGCCAAGCCGCCGCCCAACTATGTGGCCGGATTGGGGCGCGGCGCCACCGGATTCACCACTCGATCCGACATCGGCCCCGCCAGGGCAGCGCCGGATCTCCCCGACAGGTCGGCCACCGCCATTGGCGGCGCTCCAGGGCCGGGCGGCGGCGCCGGGCGCGGCAGAGGCAAGGCGCCACCTCTTGGCGGAGGAGCGGCGGCAGCGGCGGCGGAAGACGACGACGACGATGCCGACGACAAGGGCTACGATGAGAACCAGAAATTCGATGAATTCGAGGGCAACGATGTGGGGCTCTTCGCGACGGGTGAGTATGACGAGGACGACAAGGAGGCCGACCAGATATGGGAGAGCGTGGACAAGAGGATGGATTCGCGGCGCAAGGACCGGCGGGAGGCGCGGCTCAAGCTGGTGATCGAGCAGTACCGAGCTTCCAATCCCAAGATCACGGAGCAGTTCGCGGACGTGAAGAGGACGCTGCTGGATCTTCCGGCGGAGGAGTGGGAAAACATCCCCGAGGTTGGCGACTACTCTTCCAGGAACAAGAAGAGGCGGTTTGAGAGCTTTGTGCCCGCGCCGGACACGCTGCTGGAAAAGGCTCGGCAGGAGAAGGAGCACGTCACTGCGCTGGATCCTCGCAGCCGCGCCGCCGCTGGAGTTGGCGGCGCTGCTACTGCCGGCGGCGCGGAGACACCGTGGTCGCAGACGCCGGTGACGGATCTTACCGCGGTCGGGGAGGGGCGGGGGACTGTTCTGTCGCTCAAGCTGGATCGGCTGTCCGACTCGGTGAGTGGGCTCACGGTGGTGGATCCGAAAGGATACCTCACCGATCTCAAGAGTATGAAGATCACGAGCGACGCCGAGATCTCCGATATCAAGAAGGCGAGGTTGCTGCTCAAGTCGGTGATCCAGACCAATCCAAAGCATGCTCCCGGGTGGATCGCGGCCGCGCGGCTGGAAGAGGTGGCGGGGAAGATCGCTGCTGCGAGGAGTTTCATCCAGAAGGGATGCGAGGAGTGTCCCAAGAACGAGGACGTCTGGCTCGAGGCCTGCCGGCTGGCCAGCGGCGATGCGGCCAAAAAAGTGATCGCCATGGCGGTGAAGTCCATCCCGACGTCCGTGAAGCTGTGGATGGCGGCTGCGCGGCTCGAGGTGGAAAACGCCGCCAAGAGCCGTGTTCTTCGCAAGGGACTCGAGTTTATACCCGACTCGGTCCGGCTGTGGAAGGCGGTGGTGGAGCTGGCGAACGAGGACGAAGCGAGGATCTTACTGGCTCGCGCTACCGAGTGCTGCCGTCTCCACGTCGAGCTCTGGCTAGCGCTTGCGCGGCTGGAAACTTACGACAAGGCGAGGGTGGTGCTCAACCGAGCTCGCGAGGCGCTGCCAACGGAGCCAACAATCTGGATCGCTGCGGCGAAGCTGGAGGAGGCACAGGGGAACGTTTCGCGCGTGGAAGGCATCATCGACCGCGCGATACGATCTCTCCAGCGGGTCGGGGTGGTGATCGACCGCGAGTTTTGGATGAAGGAGGCGGAGGCGGCGGAGAGGGCCGGGTCGGCGGCGACGTGCGTGGCGATCGTGAGGAGCACCATCGGGATCGGTGTGGAGGAGGAGGACAAGAAGCGGACGTGGGTGGCGGACGCGGACGAGTGCCGGAAGCGGGGCTCGATCGAGACGGCGAGAGCTATCTACGCTCATGCTCTGGCTGCGTTTCCCGGGAAGAAGAGCATCTGGGTGAAGGCGGCGCAGCTTGAAAAGAGCCACGGAACGAGAGAATCGCTCGACTCGCTGCTGAAGCGAGCGGTGGGGTACTGTCCACAAGCGGAGGTCCTGTGGCTCATGGGAGCCAAGGAGAAGTGGCTAGCCGGGGACGTGGAGGGCGCTCGGGAGATCCTCACTGCCGCCTACGTCGCGATTCCAAACTCGGAGGAGATATGGCTGGCGGCGTTCAAGCTCGAGTTTGAGAACCGGGAGCCGGAGAGAGCCAAGATCCTCCTGGCCAAGGCCAGGGACCGCGGATGCTCGGAGAGGGTGTGGATGAAGTCGGCGATCGTGGAACGAGAGCTGGGAAAGGTGGCGGAGGAGAGGAAGCTGCTCGAGGACGGGCTCAAGCTCTACCCGAGCTTCCACAAGCTGTGGCTGATGCTCGGCCAGCTCGAGGAGAGAGTTGGCAACTTTGAGGCGGCGAGGAGCGTGTACGAGAGAGCGCTGGAGAAATGCCCGGCTAGTACTCCGCTGTGGCTCTCGGCTGCGCAGCTGGAAGAGAAAGTCGGGGGGATCAGCAGGGCAAGAGCGATGCTGACGACGGCGAGGCTCAAGAACAGGGAGAACCCGGAGCTGTGGCTGGCGGCGATCCGGGCGGAGACGAGGGCCGGGAACTGGAAGGAGGCGGACGCGCTCATGGCGAAGGCGCTCCAGGAGTGCCGGCAGAGCGGGCTGCTGTGGGCCGCGAATGTGGAGATGGTGCCGCGGGCGCAGAGGAAGACCAAGAGCTTCGACGCGATCAAGAACAGCGAGCAGGATCCATACGTGATCGCGGCGGTGGGGAAGTTTTTCTGGCAGGACAGGAAGGTGGAGAAGGCGAGGAACTGGATGAACAGGGCGGTGACGTTTGCTCCGGACGTGGGGGATTTCTGGGCGCTGCTGTACAAGTTTGAGCAGCAGCACGGGAGCGAGGCGCAGCTCCAGGAGGTGGTGGAGAGGTGCAAGGCGGCGGAGCCCAAGCACGGGGAGAGGTGGATCCGGGTGTCCAAGGCGGTGGAGAATGCGCACCAGACGACGGAGTTTATATTGAAGAAGGTGGTGGCGGGGTTTGGGAAGGACGAGGGGATTGTCATGACGGCTTGCAGGCCCTAGGTGTGTTCTTGTAAATTCTTTTTGGTTGTAATTTTATCAAGTACTTTGCCTATTTTGTCAGGAATGGGATTCGAACCCATGCCCTTGCGGACTAGTACCTGAAACTAGCTCCTTAGACCAGCTCGGCCATCCTGACTTAGTAGTCATTGATTATTAAACATATTTTAGCAGTAAGAGAAATGACCCCCAACCCAACACGTTATGCAACTAGATACTCATAAAAACATCTCAAAAGAAGATAAAGCATTCTGCATAATTTATCCAGTGTAGGTTGGTTACAGGAGATTTGTTATTTCTGTTTCAATACATACAATATGTGATAAACAATTTGATTATTGCATATGGATCAAGAATTATATGTGTATTTACATTTGATTGTAAATTTGATAATTTATTATTAAAAGTATTTGTGTTTCTGTCTTTTGGTTTTTGTTTATAATTGTTTTTGTATTTATTAATGTGGATTTTATTGTAGTTTTATATTGCTCATATGTTATTCATATTATTGTTAAATATTCATCAAACTCTAAATTTTCTAGATTTACAGTTTTATCTTCTAGTATTGTTTTTATTTTTTTGTAAATTATTACATAAGAATTTTTTTCATGTTTTGTAATGACTTTGATAGGGTCTAAGATTTTTATTTGTGGCATTGGAGGGATTGGGTGATATACCTTCCACTAATTTAGTGAATACTACTAAAGCTCATATTATTAACCATGTAGTTGTACTCATTGCTACATCATTTGTCCAGCTAATATGAGAATATTCAAGATTCACTCAAAGCACCATGTTTGAGTTTATAAGACTTGTTGGAAAGATGTGTTTTTGGTTCATTGGCAAAAGAATAGTATTCCATATGCTCATGCAATTGCAACTATCATATTTCATAGGGAATGAGTGCAATCCTACACTCATCCTTACTACTTACACAAGGCTTATTGTGGGGTATATATAAGTGTTATATATCCCTTTAATTTAAAGGGCTTTTGCAAGGATAATATTATAGCATACATGGTTTTCACTTTTTACTCTATGATGTTTACCATAGAATAACCATGAAATGGAACTTTAACCCTTGGACACATGGGCCAATGGCAGCAAGGTAGAACTTAAATTCAGAGCCTTGGGCCACTGAATGAAGAGATGGAGCTAAATTCCTAAGCATATACTAAGGAGTATAAGAAACTAGAGCACAAAACATCTCCCAATCATATAGGTTAAGGAGCAAAGGGATAGGAGTCTGGAGTGATTCCTGAGTGTATAGCTTAAGGAGCGAAGGACATGATCATGGAGTGATGTTAGAGTAGTCCTAGAGCATCTAGCATCATAATACTAAGACTAATATGCAAAACAGAGTCAAACAAAGTCTAGTGCTATTTTAGTATACCAATAACCTAATGCAAGGATATAAGTACTACAAAGATAGACACACAAATAGGAGCTAGACTATGCCTCAAGTTAACTTATTCATTATCCTTAGTATACATTTGAAACCCCCCATAAATAAGCGCTAGACTATGCCTTAGGTTAGCCATGCCTAACTTATTCACTATCCTTACTATACATTTGAAACCCCCCATAAATGGGAGCTAGACTGGTTAGCCATGTTTGACTTATTCACTATCCCTATTATACATTTGGAGAACGAGAATGAAAGATATTGGTCATGAAAAGAGGGCTTTCCATTATGAATGATGTTATCAAATTGGCATAGCTATCATGAATGTGACTACAGGTATCAAAAATTATATGTTAGTGAGTCCTTTAAGATATTCTTCTTTTACTATTACAATAGCAAAAGATTAATATTACTAGTTCCCTTTATCAATCTTTGCCCAAGCTAGTTGAGAAACTAGTTACCACATGTCTACTAGCACTAAGGAAATAGATTTTAAATTATCATTTAATCAAGTAATTTTGACACAATGATGAGAAATTGTTAGCTTACACTTATTAGTGTTGGGGAATATTGAGCTTAATCCTTCAATATTTGCTAAATGATATCTTATCATGTCCACTAAGACTCCCTCACTATCATACCCCATGTGTTAGTTTTGTTTGATCCTATTATTATTTATGGAAAATGTCTAAATTTGCTGATGAGGCATATTTATAGAATGTAGAGATTGTTCTAAACATAATAATGTTATCCTTGCTGTTAAGGGAAAAAAGAAAACTCTAAATTTCATTTCTCCATGGTAAGACTTTAAATGATTTTCTCCATGAGTTATGCCTTGTACTCTACTGGGTGTTCTCTAGGATCCATTGGTTAATCACTAAGTATTGTCCACTCATGAAATCTTTGCCATACGCTTCTTTAGAGGGATTTTGTGGAATATTGTAAAATTAGAAGATAAACCTTAGACTAGAATCACTCCATCCATACTCTAATGCCTCATATTTTATGTTTTATTGTTGATATCATAGAATATTAGTGTATTGAAGGTGGTAGATTTAAATGACCATTGTTGAATGCATATGTTGTACAAGAAAAAAAATTTAAATGGTGGCAGAAATTTTTGTAAGGTTGGAGGGTATACTTAAATGTAGAAGGTATATAACAAATCATTTTATAAAGGTGGTGGAAAATAAGTTTTAGATAGAGTAAAATGGATGGATAATAGGACAAATATAAGATATAAAAATAAGAGAGTAGTTGTGAAAGGATTTGGTTTAACTTCAAATATCAGGTCATAGAGAAAAGGTGGTTATAGAATAGTAAAGTGGTAAGGGTAGAGGTATAGAGGAATGGTTTTGTATATACATATCTTGTACATATATATACCTCAACTTTGAGTATGGCATTTTTTGTTGAAAATTTTTCTTGTCACATAATCCCATCCAAACAAGCCCTTTGGTTATAAGCCATGCAAGTTGTTTACAACCCAATGGTAGTGTTGTTTTATAGTTGAACATGGAACATTTTCAGTCTATATCCATTTAATTGGGTGTCATATTGTTCTCTATCAAAATCTGCTAGCAAGTATAATCCATTATTGTGATCTGATATGGGCCACCCTATCGCGGAAGAAACTTTTTTGTGAATGTTTTATCAATCCTGCTATCATACTTCATAACTAAATCACTAACTTGAAAAGCCTTTACACATTTCTTATCAAATTTGTGCTTTTGTTGCTACTAAACTGCTTCCATATGTTGACAAGCTTGACATTGATTCTTATCCATCCCCTTAAGTTGAATGAGCTTTAATTGCAAGTCCTCATTATCAATGCTTCAACATTAGTTGTAAAATTAGGATCTCCAACTCAATTAGAAATATAACTTCTATCCCATAAACTAGCTAGAAAAGAGTGAAGTTGTTGTTACCTTATGTGTAGTTTTATAAATTTATAATACTGTCATCAGTCATTTGTCCCAATTTTTCTTCTTCTCAATAGTTAGTTTTCCTAGAATGTTGCACAATACATTATTTATTCCCTCCACCAACTTGTTAGCTTGTGGATAGTATGATATTGACTGTCAATATTTTATTGATAGCTTTTTCATTAGTGTTTTAACCACCTCATTGCAAATTGGTCAGTGACAATCTCTAACAAGCAACCAAACCTTGTGCATATAATTTGGACAAGAAAATTTACCAAAAAACTTCTTTTGTGTTAGTTTTAGTTGTTACTACTTCAGCCCACTCAGTAAGGTAGTCTATTGCCACCAAAATAAATATTTTTTAACTTAATGCCATCAGAACTGATCCTATAAAATCTATCCTCCATTTCTCAAATGGTTATGTCGACAAAATTGGATGAAGACTTCATGGTTGAAGGATTCTTCTTTCAAAAGCTTGACAAATGTGATATGACTTGCACCATTCCTTCACATCCTAGAATATTGTTGGTCAGAAAATATCCTACATTCACAATCTTCTTGGCCATATAATTATGGAAGAATTGTCCAATGTTGTTTCATCTAATTCAATAAAGTTGATCACTTGTTAGTGAAACGAATAGGAGTGTGAACCCTAGGCCAACCTCCCAAACCTTAAGGCGTTACGGCCTTAAATCCCACAGGCCATGGAATATTCTTGGAATATTCCTGTGGTTCATGTCATTCTCCCCTCCCTCATGACCCAGCTACATACGGCAGCCTCGAGAAGCTAAACAAGCCTCACATGAAGGGAGTCCAAGGCAATACAGCCATAGAGGAAAGATGTGCAAACGGCAACATCAACATCGCGACAAACGGCCACGAAAGAAAGAAAGCAATATGGCTTTCTCACATGACAATACGGTCATGGAAACAAGAGAATGAGAATAGAACAAACAACTCAAATCACATAGTAATATGGCTATAGAACTCAATTCTCCCCTTCTTCAGGAATGTCATCCAAGTCATAACCAAAACTCGGAAACACTCTCTTCATGTTATCCTCAGTTTCCCATGTAGCTTCGTCCATGGAATAACCATTCCACTGAACTAACAACTCCCTAGTTGTCTTTTTGCATGTTTTCACCAATCTTTGAGCAAGAATATTGGCCAGACTAGCTTTCTCTGCATCAATCTCTGGAACCTGGATGATGGACTGATTCATGATATCACTAGAGTGCAAACACACTTTAAGCTTGCTCACATGGAATATTTGATGAATCTTCAAACTAACTAGCAAGTCCAAAGTGTATGCAAGATCCCCCACACGCTATAAAATTGTCCAAGGCCCACAATACTGTGGAGACAACTTAGCATTGCCACTTCCTTTTAGAGATTGTTGTGCATCCGACAACTTAAGGAAAACTTTGTCACCAACTTTGTACTCTTGATGACAACGATGCTCATTAGCCAATCTTTTGTCTCGCTCTTGAGCTTGCGTCATGTTCAATTTTGCCAACTCAAGCTTGTCTTGCATATCCTCTAGGAAATCACAAGCATGAGGAACCCGAACTAAAGCCAAATTTAAACTCATAGGAGACCTAGGCTCATAGCCATACATCGCCATAAAGGGAGACATGCCAATAGCCAATTGATGAGCGCTATTGTGAGCAAACTAAAGCAAAGGCAAGTACTTCTCCCATACTCTCTGTCAAGTCAAATTTCCCACAAAAGACCTTAGCATATCTTCTAATAGCTGATTCATGCGCTCTGTCTACCCATCAGATTGTGGATGCTCACCACTACTCATGCTCAGCTTAGTCTCTAGCTTCTCAAAAACTGTTTGCCAAAATTTGGATGTAAACTTGGGATCCCGATCACTCACAATGTCACTCGGCAAACTAAATAACCAGTCTACAAACAACTAAGCAAGTTCATAAGCTTTTATCGTCATTTTCATAGGGAAGAAGTGAGCCATCTTCGTCAAACGATCCACAA